ATTTATAAAAATGCCATTCACTGAAACTATTATGCATCGGTTGACCGAACGACCGAGGTAGTAGAGCATTTCTAGCACTACACCTCCACTTTTTCGAACAGTTTTCTTCACGCGATCTTTCTTCTTCCTCTAAGCAAACACTATTCTCCAGCACTGCCCACTACTCGCGCCTCCCCCTCCGCGTTCGTCGCGCCTCCTTCATCGTTCTCGCCCCGCCTCCGTGGTCGTTGTCGGACCGCCTCCTTCGCTCCTCCCTCGCGAGGACTCGCTCATATCTCGCGGTTCTACTGGCCTTGTACCTTTGTCGCTCCGTTGCCGTGGGTCGTCGCCACCGACGTTCATTCCTGCCACCTCCGTTGTTGTCGCGTCATTGGTGTCGTCGGTGCTTCCATCTCGCTGCCTGCATTTCGTGAACGAAGCATCCACCTCCATTTCTTTTTAGGCTGCCTGCATTGCTCTCTAGCCTGCACCACTACCGCCGTCGCCACTGCCAGGTGCACCACTGTCGTGGTTGGGACCGTTCTTCATCTGCCATTGGTGCTGCTGTTCTTGTTGGCCTAGTATTGTTGCGATATTGGGGTTAAAGTTCAGATTGAGAATCTTAGGGTTTTGAGTTTGGGGAATTTCTTTTTGAGGATCCGTTCGCGCTATTCTAGTCCATGAGGGTTGTTGATGGTTGCTCCAATTGGAGAAGAAGACTTTGCGTGGTAGCCTGTGGTGGTCCAGTAAAGGTGGCATGGTTTTTGGGTGGTGGTTCGATGTGAGAATGAAGTGTTGAAGATTGATGGGCACTTGTTATCAAGCTTCTCGATAGTGCAAGCGAAAAAGCAACCTAGATGGTGGACGCAGGTCACAACCAATCTGTCTCTCGAGAGGCGGAAAAGGTGGACACAGGTAACAACCGATCGGTCTCGCAAGAGGCAGAAAAGCTGGCAAAACCGAACGTTAAAAAAATAAAATAAAAAATACTCTACTGTCTCGGTTAAGGTCCCAACCGAGGCAGTAGAGTCTAAGATACTGCCTCGGTTAAGAAGGAACCGAGGCGAAATCCTACCCCTTTTTGACTCGGTTCAGAACTGAGGCATAAAGCTTATCCGTTTTTACCTTGCCTATATATGCATCGGTTGCAGAACTGGTGCCTATAAGCAAAAATAACCGATGTCATTTCCCTTGATTGCACATGTGATTGGAGTAAAGATAAAGGAAACATTAGAGTTAAAAGAAATAAGGGAGTAAGATAATTTATAGTGCAACATTTTTTTATTAAGAAAATGATAAATAACCACTATACAAAAAAGTTTTTTATACCAATTAAAAAAGATTTTTTTATCGATTTTTGAGCAAGTATAAAAACATATGGTATAAAATTTTTTCAACCTTTTATACCGGTTTCAGAGTCGGCATAGAAACAAACTTTTTATATATATCGGTTCCGCCCCCAAAAAAGGTAAAAATACTGATTTTACACTTGATATTTTTTCGAACAGGTATAAAGAAACTCATTTTACATTTAAAAAAAATATTATTTTTATACTTGGTGCTAGTAATAGGTATAAGAAGTCTCAATTTTTTATACCTATTGATTTGTTTTTGTTACTATCCATATCTAGGTTGCAGAAAATTCAATATTAGAAAATAGTATAAATAATCAATAACGAGCAAAATAATCAACATTATTTGTATTATTAAAACATCAAAATAATTCCTGCATTCAATGTCATATTTACCTAACAAGGTTCCTAAATATATTTAGTTAACATAGTTACACATAAAATAGTTCGTAAACTCAAAATCTATTATTGAATACATCGAATCATCTACAAACATTTTAAAGAAATGCAACCCAATGCTCCCTAACATCTTTTATGACATATTGCTCCTTTAGAGACATATCATTAAGTATCTACACAATGAGATGTTACTTATAAAATGTTTACGTTACCAAATTTCATGAGTCAACTATTAAGATGTTTAAAGAATAATTCTGATGTATTATTTTAAAGAGTAGTGTACCATGTATATACATATAAGGATCCTATAATTCTTCATCTATTAAAGTAATGACAAGTGCACAAATTTGCACAAAATATAATAATATCTAAATTATAACTAACACAATATTTGATTACCTAATATCCGTTAATAGAATATTTGTCATATCTTAACATCAACGATATTTGTGGATATACTTTTCTGAACGTGTCTCATGACATAATATCTATACTTAAAGCTCCCCTGTTGACATTAACACTATAAGTTAAAGTTTGTAAAGTATCATAATTGTATTTAGGTTATTACAATCAAACTTCCGGATATAATTTATCAACCTCTGAAATCAGTAAAGTCCATTTATCAAAATTTGATAAGCCCTTAAAAATAACTTCTTGAAGATCGTGATTGACATCAATACCTTAAAAAAAAACAATGAAATAATTGACAATCCCAACTCGTGTAATTGTTACTAACTTTTTGTGTTGAAAAGATGGATGAGATTACACTTTTTAACAACCTTCATACATGTAAAAACTTATCAAGGAGCTTTATTGTCATATAAGTACATATGTGTAATCTTACATTTCTTATTCAGGTATGTACCAAATAAAACTGAAACCATTGCTCTTTTATTAATTTGTGGAATCAACACGTCTATGTTGGTTATATGGCTTTCAAGTAATTAACAATATAAAATTGGAAGTAAATAGTGAAATAAACATGCATAAAGAATTGTTGTATGTATATATATTATTATTCAGTTTCCTTCCAATTGCATGCTTCTCAACTCGACCACACAATACTTTTAGATTTGTGTATACATAAACTCACAACTAATTGTTGGTGCTTGGTTGTGTTCTTTAGTTGTCGTGGTAACGACGAGATTTTTGCAAGGGAGAACTCGCGATGTGTATATATGTGAAAGGGTGGTGCATCCTCTTTCTGTTTCGATCTATGCTAGGTAACTACGGTGGCGCGAAGTGATGAAGGAAAGAAGCTGCTTCAGTGTTCAGGTTCACAATGGAGTGGTGTTTGGGCATTGGTGATGCGTTGAACATTAGTGTCACGAGGTGATTCGATGATGGGTTCATTGTTTGAAATAGTTTTTTTATACATGTTTTACATTTAACCTATATAAAAGGTGTTAGTTTTATACAAGTTCTAGAACTGTCCATGCTTCTATACCAATTTTAAAACTGGTATAAAAAGTTTTTTTAATCGGTATATAAAATCTTTTTTCTATGTGAGAGGATGGTGTCACATGTGTAGGTCAATAAATCATCTCCTAAGATTTCAAGATGGACGAGCTTGGTTCTCTTAAATACATCTTCCTTCCTTTAAAGCATGTTTTAGGATTAATGTTCTTGATTCTAATTTGCTTCATTTATTATCCTTTTTCTAATTTGAACTAGAAGGTTCGCTTACAAAAGATTGTTATAATCAAAGAACACGCCTTTTTTTATGATCATTCTCTTGCTAATGCATGAACTTTAAACATAACCTTTTGTTTAACCATACAATTCATGCTTTACTCTTTAATCTTTCATGCATTGAGATAATTAACTCCTTAAACTTTCATAAAAGCGTATTTATCTAAAGTAACATAGATAATATGAAAAGGTAACGTGAAGCATATACAAATCAGAGTCTTTTATGAATGCTACATGGAGCTGTACGAGTAAATTTCATCTTGTGAATCCAATTTGAACACGAAAACAGTACATAATACTTTAAAATATAACGTTAATGTATTTATATAATTTATTGAGAGAGTTCATTCATCTATATATATATATATATATAGAAAATGGAAACGTGTAGCTTAGGGCAAATCGCTTGTCAACGTGGTGCTTCTACGTTCGTATCCATGCCATGGCACATATCACGTTTCGGTATGTTTTTTTCCTTCTTCTTTTTCTCACTACCTCTTTCTCCAAACAAACAACCCTTATCTACAGTAACTGAAAGGCAACTGAACATTTTTCACACCTCAAAGTCTCCATGCCCTCATATCTGGAAAAAACAACATTACCAAAAAGCCATAAAACCCTAAATCCAGACGTTGAAGTTTTCATAAAAAAACAAATACGAGCTGAGCTGAAGCTTAATGCCCAAGTTTCGTGTTACGTAGCTTCTTTGAGAAGCTGAAAAAGACGTGTCGGGTTATATATAAAAATATCAACTTACAATTCTAATTGAATAGTTATATATGTTATGCCAATATGTCTTGGTACTTCGATACTCAACCATTGGGTTTCATCATTCCACGTCACATAAATTTCAAAGTTAATTGACAAAAACGCCGCAACAAGGTGTGGCATCATGAAAATGTTCAACAACTTAAGCAGCAAGCGTCACACACCGCATTAGCATCGCTTGAATTAATTTTTTAAATAATAATATGCTTAGCTGATTCTGATATTCATTAACCCATATCAGATCAACAGAATCACGTAGAAAAAAACATGAAGGTTCATACTAAGTGAGAAGTTTGAATAATACTAATTATAATACTCTATGCGCTCGAATGTGAATGAGAAAACAGAGAAAGAGAAAGTTCGTTATACTTGAGAAAGTCTACGTGGAGAAAGGGGATAAAAGGGTATATACACTATATATACAGCAGTTTTGTTGGTTGTTGCAAAGATGTATACATTAATCATAAACGTATATATTGTTCGTGTTACATTCTTTGTCGGTTCGTATGTAGATGTCTGATATGTCTGTGAATTTTATAAAGCTTTAAGGACACTCTAATTTGACACTGCAGCTGAACTCCTAATAACACGCACACATGTTCTTGCTAAAAAGGTGAAACGTCCTACGAAGAATCAGGTTGCCCCATCTCCACTCTTACCCACCACCGTTTTCTACCTTTTTATTTTTCTTTCTCCTATTTAGTTTTCTCATTGTTCACACAATTATAGTTAATTTTCTTTCCTTAGCCAGTGTAATTAATCTTTCATGTATAACAATATTAACTTTTTAACTCACTAAGACAAGAGTTAAAGCTCATAATTTAGTCCCTGATCCAAACGTATATACGGGCACAAGCAAACTTGGCGTCCAAGCATCCTTTTCTATATGTAGAACCCACTTTTGAGTCCCACCTTTCTTTTATCGGTTATACCCTTTGCTCCCCCTCTCTCTCTCTCTCTCAAGAAGTTGGTACAGTGCAAACAGTTTGGAAAACCAAACCTAGCTCAATTATACATAGAGAATACATGTAGGAGAAGCAAAAGTGGGATACCAATAGAATTGATTTTCTCCCTACCAAAAACAAGAGGTGAATCGGGAAAAACTTGTCTCGAAAGAGACAAGGGTATATGAGCTTTATCTTTTCCTTTTTGTGTTGCTCATTCTCTGCTATTCTTTTTGTGTTTACTTTTTCTTTCTTGGTTATATTATTAGGGAGGTGATTTGTAAGGAGGTGTGAAGGAAATCAAGGATCTGTTTTTGGATATATGGGCATATAGGAGAAAGAGATGACATGGTGCAATGACTCAGATGAGGAGAGGGGAATTGAACTGGTTGCGCCCACTGTTACTCCTGCAACTAACAACACTCTTGTTACTGACACAAAACAAACCGAAAATCGCACCATAACTTGCCCCTCATGTGGCCATAACATTGAATTCCAAGATCAGGTACTGAAGAAGAGGTTTTGATCTTATCATTCACCATCATATGTGCTGTGTTTTTTATTTTATAAAACCTTGCCTGTTTTGTTTTTGGTGAAGAAAACTTGCCTTTGTTTATGCTACAAACTTTAATTTATTGTTATTATTAATGTCTTTGGGCTGCATATGAATCAATAGACAGGAATCAATGACTTGCCGGGGTTACCATCTGGTGTGAAATTTGATCCGAATGACCAAGAGATATTAGAGCATTTGGAAGCAAAGGTACTTTCTGATGTTCCCAAGCTCCATCCCCTCATTGATGAGTTCATACCAACGCTTGAAGGGGAGAACGGGATCTGTTACACACACCCAGAAAAGCTTCCAGGTGTTTGATATTTTTATTTTGCTTTCTACTTTTTTTGTTTATTTTGCCGTGTGTTTGATGCTTCTAGTTATAAGCTTTCATTTAGTTTTTTCCTCTATCATATCTATAGTAATTTCCCTAATTTTTCTCGTCTCATCATCTCTATCTTCTCTTCACCATAATCTACCATAAAATAGGGTAAAAGTTTACAATTTTTCGGATGGTTTGTGACAAAAGTTGTGGTTACGGTTAGGATGGAATTCATTTGTGATTCCTCGTAACCAATAAATACGGTTAAAGTAACTCCAAAAGCCTTGATATACGCGGTTGCCTACGGTTTCAAACCACGGTGTAGAGGTTTGATGCATATTTAGTGTTGTTTTATCATTCATGAAATAAGGTTCTAGTGATGAAAATAAGTTTGCTAGAAAAAAAAGAAGCTTAGGTTGATGGAGAAAGCATGCCAATTCGTTTATACTCTCCACTAATTATGCAGAAATCTGCTTATTATTTTTGAAATTCTATGCTTGTCATGGAAGATATTCTAAAAGTAATATATATAGGAGGCTATTTTCGTGAAAATTAGGGGCGAAAATGAACAGATACCCTTGAATAAGATACTTTACCAGTCGACTAAAAAACTATTTCTGCCTTTGCTTTTCTTGAATTTATAACGTAGCAATACAAAATTTCACTCTTTAGGAGTATATATGTGTCAGTCTTTTTTCTTCGAAGAAATCGAGAACAAATGGGAGGAGTAAACCAAATCTGTAAACCAACTTCTTCAAGTATGTCACAAGGAAAAATAATTTATTTGTGTTGTCAATGACCACCAAACTCAATGGTGGCATCTCATCTTACATTACCCAAGTGGCATAAGTGAATGTATATATTCTTTTCTTAAATTCAATACTTCTAGAAAAAAAAATGCTAGCAATTGATACGCTCATTGATGTTTCTTTCCAACATATTCTTTATTTATTGGGTGAGTTTCTATTAGGCTTACCAGATAAATAAATAGATAATAAGACCTATTTGGAACTGATTAAATGTAACTAACACCCTTTAATTTCTTATTGTTAATTTTTAATGCTATAGTGTACTTTTTTAATTTGGGGATAAGGGACAAGAAAGGGAAACAATTTATTTTGATTAATGACTTGATGATGTTAATAAAGACAAGAAGTAAAAGAAAAAAGAAAAACCAAGTCGTGGAGAAGTAACTTAGCTTTTCATATCTTCACCAAAAAGCCATATTATATGTCCTCAATCTAAAGATTGCAATCCCCATGCATTATATATGCTCATGCACGTGGAAGAACGATTTTGGGATTGGTAACACCACCTTTTCTTACACTCACAACGAGTCTATTACGTACGCTCTCCATTATGTTGTCCTTAATTACCTTATCTTTCCCTATTGATATATCCTCAAATTAAATTGTAAGGTTGTTTTGCGTTCCTGGTTTGAATCTGTTATGTTTGTCGTTATGCATAAATCTCATATACGTGCAAATACAAGATAAATGAAACATATACATTCCATGAAGAGTTGCAGGTGTAAGCAAAGATGGACAGATCCGGCATTTCTTTCATAGGCCGTCGAAAGCATACACAACCGGAACAAGGAAGAGAAGAANTTTGAGAATACAGTTTGTCTGAGGAAGTTCTCAAAGTGATAGAGTGCTCTTGTCTGGTCTTGTGAATAGGAGAAGCTCGCGTTTTGTGTGTCAAAGGTCGGAGCGGTTCTCTTCAAGTTGGCTGAGCAGGTTCTTCCGTTCGTTTGTCGAAGGAAGGTGTTTTCTATTCTTTGCTTATTTTGATTATCTGATTGTAATCTGTAAACCATATTTTAGTGAAAAAAGGTTAATCACTATTCATAGTGATTAAGGACTGGACGTAGAATCTTTTGATTCGAACCAGGATAAAAATTCTGTGTTGATTTTCTTGATCCCTAAACTCTTAGCACATCATCAACTGTTCGATAAAAGTTCGTTAAGAAAATTAATTTTTGAAACCAACTATTTTAACTTGTGTTGTGATCGTTACACGCTTTCCGCTATCTATATTTTATTCCGCTGCGCGACTCTATAACGGTACCGATTGTTCCTACACAAATTAATACTACTAAATTATAACAACCTCGGTATTGCTAAGATAATAGCCAACAAAACAGAAAGGGTAAATTTAACACTAAGTCATCTCCTAACGAACATGAAATTGATTATTAACAAATTAATTTTTATCAAAACTATATACAAAAGTGTTAGTAAAATAATAAAGAAGATAAAGATAAAGAAAAGATTAAAGAACGAAGTAAAAAAAGATAGAACAAAATAACAAAAGATAGAAAGAAAAAAATTTCACTACTGCAAAAACAGCGTATAACGTCACACGTTCAATGTCCAACAACGAAATAACCAACGTTAAAAATGACCGGTGACATTTTTGTAAATAAATGAAATTGTAGAACGTCGAAGCCCCATTCAATTCGACGTTCTATGATGGTAATTATTTAAACCAGTGTGTCATTCTCTTTCTTCTTTCTTTTAAACCACCAATAGTACGTCGAATCCTGTAGGGGTTCGACGTAATATTTGTCCGTCAGAAGCCAAAGAGTCACCCTTTTTAATTATTTTTTTTATTTTAAACAACAACTAATACGTCGAGTTCTGTAACGGCTTCGACGATTATTTGTTAACCAGAAGCCAAAAAGTAACCGCTTTTTAATTCTTTTTTTCTTTTTTCTTTTAAACCACATATAAGACGTCGAATTTTGTAGGAGCTTCGACATATTATTTGTCAGCCAAAAGTTTCCCTTTTTTAATTTGAGTGGGAGATTGAAAATTCATTCACTTTATCTTAGCGCGTGAGACCCTCTTCTTTTTTCAAACTTTTCTCGAACGAAGTTTGACGACCATCATATGTAATCTTTCTTTCATTTGATACAAATGCATGTTAATTAATTACTTTATGTATAATTTTTGTTTGTTTTGACCGATTATTTTCGTGTTCTTGTCCTTCATAAGCGCATTCTACTTTCTCTCTCACTTTGTTGGTGTTCTCACTCTTAACCAAAGTACATTCTTAATTAAAAACATTAATCATAGTAAATTTAACCAATGTACATTCTCAATTAAATATTATTATGTCTAATCATGTATATTCTCTTACCTCTATTTCAAGTAAAAAGCTAATTAACCAAAGTACATTCTTGATTAATTCTTGTTAAAGTTTTAACCACTAATCAAACTACATTCTCAATTATTGCAAAATTTCATTCAATCACATGAAAGTTTCTAACTTTAATCAAAGTAAATTCTCAATTAAAAATAAAAACTCTTGGACTCATACATTGATATGTTATGTAGATTTAACACCATGTGAACTTGATATAATGTAAAAATCATTACTTTTACTTTATTAAGAAGTAAAAGACATAGATAAAAATAAATCACAACAAGAATAAACAAATTTATTCATCTAAACTCAGAATCCAAGTAAGAAATTACAGCAGAATCAACTAGCACGACATGAAATGTAAAAATAATATGAAAAGATAAGAAGAGGGGGTGGAAAACATGAGAGAAGAGAGGGTGGACGAAATTTGAACCCCCAAAGGGTTCCTCGGCTCCGTTAATGTGTTTGTCTAAGTCTCTTTATATAGAAATTGGATTGAGCTTTGTTTCAACTTTTTTGTTGTTGTAATCCTCTTTATGATAATGTAATCTNCAATAACTACTTAGGTTGATGGATATCAGGTTAATAATCTAAGTTCATTTTTTATAATCTAAGTTGAAATATGAGTCTAAATCTTAGATTAAATACAAATAAGAAGCTGAAAACTTATTAATCACTTGTCTTATAAAGTTTTTATAAACAATGGAACCAATATCTTATGTAATTGAGATTTATGTAATTGAGATTAGATCTCATTTGATATTGTGTCCTTATATAAATCTTTTATAAACTCAAGTCTCTTATCTCAAATAACTACTATTATCATTTGATAATTATAATTTCAAAGTTTTTTTGTCGGACTATGTATTCGGATATCTTTTCGGATTAAACAACTTAGAAGTGAAATATTGAAATATGCTTTTTGGTATCGACAATAAGTTACGCATTAAATAATTCATAAGATTAAGTTAAACATACAATTTTGTATGGCGTACTGTGAAATCCATCAATTTGGATTATTTATTCTACACTAAGGGTGTTCCTTCCACCACCACCAAACCCTCCCTACACTTTTCGACAACTTTTTTAATTACAAAAGTACTTTTTTGTCATCGCCTTTACCATCACCGTCAACGTCGCCACCATTCATAGAAATCTCTTCTCCTCCACCTACCGTATCTCTGCCGAAAAAATCTCCTTCGTCGACACCGGAGAATTTTCCTCCTCCACCAACGTCGGTTCATTCTACTTCTACTTCTCCTTCTATTTCTCCACCACCTATACCCCTTCTACTTCTCCACCACCTACCACTTCTACTTCTTCATCACCTTTTTAAAAATCTTTAAGGAAAAGAACCCAAAAACATACTTGTTGTTATCATGTCTAATGATTTTGGTGTGATAAAGTGCATATATGCATTACTTTGTAGAGGAGCTTGGTTTTGGTGTGATAAAAACGGAAGTAAAAAAATATTACAGATGTAAGTATCAGCGAATGTCAACATTCGTTTATTGGAAGACAAAACAGGAATGAGGAAATGCTGGAAGCAGTCCCTTGTGGTCCGTGGTGGTGTAGGGAACAACTGCCACTATATATAATCCGTTCATCGAGTGTTAATATGGATTATGAAAATGTAACATTATAAATTGTACAATCAATAGTTTTAGTGTATATTTCTTTTCTATTTGGATTACTTAATATAAATATTTATTTTAATTTTTTAGCTTAGTTAATAATTTAGTTATTATATTTAAGTTTATGATTTACTTTTATTAATGGAGTTTTTTAATTTCTTTTATTAAATTTGACTTCAATATTGTTTGAAAGTTTTCATATTAAAATCTAATTTATTTTGTTTTGAAATTTATTTAGATTTTTTCTTTATTTTTTTATTAGAGTATATATTCCATCATTTTTCTTTTCAAAATATATTTCAAGATCGTATAATCTAAATATATTTTTGGATTTAAAAATATCTTTCAAAATATACACTTCAGAGTACTTTTTCTAAACACATGCTAGATTACACAATTTGAAAATTATTTTTAGATTCAAAAATTGTAAGACCTATATAGAGTATTAGATGTAGTAGAGTGTTTTAAATAATGATATTTCATTATTTTTATTTCAAAAAATATCAACACTATAAATAGAACTTTCTAATAAGGAGTTTCATTATCTAAGAAGCTTTATTTCTCTAAAACTTTATTCTTTAAAATTTTCTATGCCTTCTCTCTAGAAATTTTAACTCCATACTCATATATCGGATGATCAGAGACCGCCTGAGGGTTCTTTTAGGCGAGATCTTCATTTATAGCCAATTGATTTCAGCTATAGAGTAAGTTGGTTTCTACCCTTCTTCTTTAAATTTTGGTGTCTTTGCATGTAGGGGTTTTCTTCACATTTTTGGGTTTGAGTCTTCTTTAAGACTCTCTCTTGATCAGTGGTATTGAGGGTATACTCTGATCAAATTGTCATAAATTTTAGGAGCAAATAGAGATCTTGGAGCCATAGGTGGAATTTTAGAGTTCTTAGAATCGTCGGAGCATCAATCAAGTAAGGAAGCTAGTTTATTTGGTTTGGATTTAGTATGCATGTAATATTTGATGTTTGTATAATGATGTGATGATTAATTTGTGAAGTTTAGTTAAATCATGAAATTTGGTAAGTTGGGTGCTTAAAAAGGGTGGTGTGTAGTTGGTTTGTCGATGTAAAAAGTTGTTTATTGATGAATTTAATAGTGTAGATTTAGTGATTTTAAGCTGATATATTTTTACTAAACTTGGGTTTGGAATAAATTAGAAGAAGGGTGAGTTTGGGCATAAAAATGGGAGTTTTGACGGGTTAAATTTTAAGATCATGGCTTTGGGGAAAGCCTGGAGTTTTGGGAACTGTCTTGGTGCAATTTAGGGCTTAGTTGGTCTCTTATTGTACCAAAAATCTAGTAGATCTTCTAGTAAGGAGTCATCTGGTGTGGAGTCATCTGGTAAGGAGTCGTTTAGTGAGGAGTCGTTTGATAAGGCGTTGATAATGTTGTCGTTGACATGCTCAAATTGTTACCAATGAGGAGCATTGGTATCTTGAAAGCTACTGTAAAGTTTTGATGATGATAAAAGCTGAAGAATTGAAGACTCTAAATGCATCTTTGTTAAACGCATTTTGTAGAAACAAATGTATAGGATAAAATGTAATGATGTAAAAACTCTTAGAAGTTTTCGTATGTAGTGAGTCATTGCACAAATAATCGATTATCAAGAGGTATAATCGATTATCACGAGCCAGTTTAGAAGAGAGTTGCTTGCGCAAATAATCGATTATTACACAGAATAATCGATTATCACTGTTTCATTTAATTTTGTCCAAGTCTCTGGAATAATCGATTATTACTCAGGATAATCGATTATCACCATTTTGAAAACCCCATAACGGACACAAATAATCGATTATCACTTATGATAA